TACTAAACAATGTAACGGGATAGGTACAGCATTTGTTTTGTTTATAAGACAAAAACGTTATCATTATTATTATTAAACTAAATGAACTTAAACTAATTATATTAATTACATAAAAACAATGTAGTGTAATAAGACAAAAACATTATCATTAGATATTATTATTAAACTAAATGAACTTAAACTAATTTTATTAATTACATAATAAACAATGTAGTGTAAAGGTACAACCTTTTTTTTTTGTTTATAAGACAATCATTATTAGCCAGCACCACTGCATTCCAGCGGTAGAACACAAATTTTAATTACAGCTCTTTTATGTGTGTGGCCGTTAGCAGTTTTGACTTCAACTACTCTCACTTTTCCATCTTTACCAGGGTAGGTATTCATGACTGGCTAGGGGCCAGTATAGTGGTGACAAATTGTCATGCCTTAGGATCACCAATGCTCCTACCTTTACATTAGGTTGAATGTCTTGCCACTTAGGGCGAGATTGTAACAAATTTAAATAGCGCTTACTCCAAACCTTCCAGAACGACATTTTTATTTCATTACAAGTTTTCCAAAATTGAGATTGTTTTATTATGTTTACATTGGGCTCAGGATAAGTATTTAAAGCAGTTCCTATTAAGAAATGACCTGGAGTAATACAAGTATAATCATTTGGATCATTGGATAATGGCATGAGAGGTCTGCTGTTTAAACTAGACTCAATTTGGCATATGACTGTATACAGTTCTTCATAAGTAAGAATGGACTTTAGTAACACTCTCTTTAAGTGGTACTTTACACTTTTGACGCCGGCTTCTGCCAATCCAGCGAAGACTGGTGAATAGCAAGGTAAAAAATGAAAGTTAATCCTCTTTTGAGCTGAATATTGACACACCCGTCTTTGGTGAACTGGCGAGTTGTGAAAGTTATGTAGTTCGTTTAATTGGTTCTTTGCGCACTTGAAGGTTGAAGCGTTGTCGCTATATATGTCTGTGGGCAATCCGCGTCGTGATATAAATCTATTTAAGCAGGCTATAAAGGTTTCTGTTTTTAAATCAGTGGCTAGCTCCAAGTGGATAGCTTTTGTTACAAAGCACACAAACAGGCAAATATAACCTTTTGAGATTATAAGTTTTCTGATCCTGGCTATTTTCAGTGATATCAGACCAGCGTAATCTAAACCTACCTTCTGAAAGGGGCGACATACATTGACCCTATCTGGCGGCAAAGAACCCATTAACGGTTTTGCTGATTCAGCTTTTAATCTAAAACAAACAGTACACTTATGTAACACTTTTTTAACTTGTCTGAGACCGTTTACTATCCAGAATCTTTGGTTTATTGATGACAGAACAAGCTTTGAACCCGCATGGAGGTTTTTTAAATGTTCACTTACAATAATTAAATTAGTGATGCGGGAGTCCTTAGGTAAGACAATGGGATGTTTCTGTGCATAGGGAATGGAGGCATTTTGTAATTGGCCGCCCACGCGAACCAACCCCCCATCATCGATAAACGGACATAATGGCTTTAAATTACCTTTAACAATTGTTTTCTTACATTTTAAGGCATGAATATCTTCTGACAAATATTTTTCTTGTTCATATTTTAGAATCATTGACAATGACAGATCAAGTTCCTGAGTTGTAATATAATTAAGTTTATTTTTAGAGACTGATTTTGACTTTGCATTCTGAACGAAACGTAAGATGTAAGCTAAAACTCTCGTCATTTTAATGATATCGGAAAAATTTTCAAGAAAATCGAGATATAACGATTGCTCACCAGAAGTAGTACAAAGCATTGCACTTAAGCATGCAGAGTCGACGCTAACCTCTGGTAAATCCTGTGGCAAAATTATATTTAATTGTGGCTTGTACTCACGTGAATGCAGAAACGCAGGCCCTTTCCACCACAGGTCATGATCGACTAGCTCGTTTGGCATAACTCCTCGGCTAAGACAATCGGCGGGGTTCTCGTTCGAGCTAACGTATGACCATGTGTACTTTTTTGTAAGTTGTAAGATAACCTTAACGCGATTCGCTATATAAGCTTTAAGTGTATTAATGTTAGTTTTGAGCCAAGCTAATACTATTTGTGAGTCAGAATAAATTATAATATCCTGTATTTGCATTTTAACAGTTAATATGTGATGAACTCTGCTGACAAGCTTTGCCAGCAACAGAGCTGCATTAAGTTCTAGTTGAGGAACTGATAAACTCTTATTAATAGGATTTATTCGTGATTTCGAACAAAGCAAGGATGCCTTGACATTACCCATTGAATCCACGACTCTTAGATATACACAACAGCCATAACCAGTTTTGCTAGATGCATCAGCAAACCCTATAATTTGTGTAAAGCTTAAGTCATGCACACTTATGTGTCGCGGTATACGCATTGGTTGCATTGCAAGCAAGCTATTATAAAACTTGTGCCAAAGCTGTAGCAGTTCACAATTTGGCACCGAATCCCAGTCCAATTTTTCTTGCCACAAGCATTGCATTATAGCCTTTGCGCTTACCACAAAAGGTCCAGCAAGACCTAGTGGGTCGTAGAATCCACTTATGAAGCTAAGAATTTCACGCTTAGATTGAGGCATGCTTAGTTTTTTGGGCTTGATATGATAAATGAATCTAAATTAATACAGGAATTACTGTAACAATTTAATAAAAAGAATGAAAATACAATATGATAGAGAAAATATTATTAAATCATTAAATAACAATAAATTGTTATGGAAAAATATAAAAAATATTACTTACACTAATAAATCACGAAATACTAACATTGAACTACTCAATCTGAAATCATCACCCGCCGAATCTGCAAACTTCATAAATAGCTATTTCTTAAATATAGGAATCCAACTTGCCAATAAAATCCAGAATGTCAAAGAGACCCTTAGTAGACCCGTAGATAACAATCCGGTATCATTACACTCCTTTGTTTTACTATATACGGACATAGACGAAGTTAAAAATATAATTTTAAACTTAAAATCAAACAGCGCTCCAGGCTGGGACAATATCCCCAATGACTTCTTAAAATTGGCAGTCAATGACTTGGCTCCTATTATTTCCCATTTAACTAATCTATGTTTCGATACAGGAATATTCCCTGCACCATTAAAGCAGTCTATTATTACGCCTGTGCACAAGGGCGGGGACAGAAATGACATTAATAATTATAGACCAATTTCCGTTCTACCAGCAATATCTAAAATTCTAGAAAAGTTACTTAATATTAGATTACTCAACTACTTAAATAAATTTGATATATTAGCACCCACACAGTTTGGCTTCAGACAAGGAAGATCGACAGAAGATGCAATTCTTGAATTAAGCGCATTTGTAACAGAACAGCTCGACCACAGTAAAAAATGTTTGTCAGTTTTCCTTGATCTAAAGAAAGCATTCGATACCATCTCTGTCCCTATGCTTGTGCACAAGCTTGAAAAAGTTGGAATAAGAGGGACCCCGCTTGCTCTTTTCGAAAGCTACCTGTCAGAGAGAAAACAAAAGGTAAAGCTTCATGGGTTCACTAGTGAGGATGCGGGAGTCTCATCATATGGCGTACCACAGGGTAGCGTTCTGGGACCAACCTTATTTTTAATTTATATCAACGACCTATGCAGTATGACCATACCAAATGCTAAAATCCTGTCGTACGCCGATGACACGGCTGTGGTTTTTGCTGGTGAATCTTGGGAGGTTGTCAAGACTAGTGCTGAATGTGGTCTAGCTAGAGTCGCTCTGTGGTTGCAACAAAATCTTCTCACTCTAAATACAGCTAAGACAAATTTTATTTGCTTTAGCATTACTAACAACTCGCAACCACAGACTGACTTTTGCCTTAAAATTCATGCATGTAATGAGGATGCTAAAAACAAAGCTTGTGACTGCCCATCAATTGAAAAAGTCTCTCACACTAAATATCTCGGCGTCATTGTAGATCAGAGGCTATCGTGGTACCCACACCTGGAACATGTCATCAGTAGAACTCGAAAATTGATTTGGATATTCAAAACCCTAAGACACGTAATACCAGATAATACTAAACAGTCGGACTCTCCCAGATATCTCCTAAACCAAATATACATATCCCTTGCACAATCTATCATAACTTATTGCATTCCGGTGTGGGGTGGAGCTACAAAGACCCAATTTCTCAACTTGGAAAGAGCTCAGCGAATCCTTCTTAAGGTCATGTATTTTAAAAAAAGACGTTTTTCCACTGAAAAACTGTATCAAATAAGTGGTCTACTCTCAGTTAGACAATTATATGTTACTATGACAACGCTCAAAGCACACAAATCCGTGCCCTTTGACCGATGCATCTTGGAAAAGCGGCGAAAAGATGTTGTGGCTGTGTCTTCTGGTTTCAAAACAGTGTTTGCTAGTAGGCAATTTAGCTCCCGTTCTACATTCCTATATAATTTAATAAATAGAGAATTAAACATATATGACAAAACATACAAGGAGTGTAAAAACCTTATACTAAAATGGGTGCAGTCGAAAACATACGACGAAACTGAATTTCTAATGGAACGCATTTCATAATTCACTGTTCTTTACGATATATAACATAATAATACTTTCTCTCTACACACACACACACACACACACAGATTCACACGCACGTGCACAAACGTACATACACACACACTCACACAAACACACACACACACACACACACACACACACACACACACACACACACACACACACACACACACACACACACTTGCATACATGCACACATATACTTTTGTACTTTTTAATTTTTAAATTTTTAAATTTTTGATTTTTAAAATTAAATTAGTTTTTGTTATTTTTGGTTTGTTAAAATAGAGTAATTGGTTTGTCATTTTTGGTTTTGAGAATTAAAATGTATGTTTAGATAAGGAAGAGCGGGGTTTCCAAACACAAGCATTACTTGCTTAAATGGAGACCCCAATCAACTATCTAATTAATTTAAGTTTTGTGAAGAAAAATAAATTATTTTATTTTTTATTTTTTTTTATTAATATTGTAATTCATACCTAGTGTTTTTAAAGAAGTGTTATTTTTCTCTAGATCAACCACATCAAAATGTTGTTGATCTTTTTGTATTTCTTTTAACAAGTCTGGTGAATTTGAAACCCATTTGTGTAATTGAAAACTTCCTAAGCTTAACAAACTGCATAATTGTTCCTTTGCTGCTGACAATCCAACCAACGTCTTTTCTGAATAAAGAATGTCATCGACATATGTGGAATTATTTAAAATAGAAGCAGCTATAGGGTACTCATTGTGGTGTTGTTCAGCCAACATTTTCAAACATCGAGTTGCCAAATAGGATGAGCTTTTTAAGCCATAAGTGACTGTGTTTAATTGAATACATTTAACACTTTCGTCTGGAGAGTCTCTCCATAGAATATTTTGTAATGACCTGTGCTTTGGATGTATATTTATATTTCTAAACATATTTTTGATGTCTGTTATGAAAAAATATTCATCAACTCTGAATAGCATTAAGACATCTACTAGCTCCTTTTGTACTACAGGACCATTAAGTAATAAATCATTCAAAGATGTTTTTGTACTTGTTTTCATAGACCCATCAAATACAACCCGGCATTTTGTTGTCTTTTTATCTAGCCTAAGTATAGGGTGGTGTGGTAAAAAGCACACTGGGTCAGTAGATAGGTTATATTGACTTATATCAATTAATGTACCATGTTTTTGCTTTAAATATTCATGAATGAACTCCTTGTATAGCACAAAAAGATTAGAATCTTTTTTAAATCTATGTTCTAAGTTATGAAATCTTTTTAAAGCTAAATATAATGAATCTCCTAAAGCTTGATTGATTGAATCTAATGGTAACTTTAGTGGCAAGATTACTTGTATTTTATTATTTTTTGTATCTTGCTCGACATTGTCACAAAATATCTTTTCGCACAAGTCATTTTCAGAATGTGCCTCTGGGAAGGTCTCTGGAACACTTTCACACTTCCAAAACTTAACAATAGAATTGTTTAAATCAGAGTCACATTTTTTGCAAAATAAAGTAATGACTGGTTCGGTGTGTTGTGTAGGTGTGTTACCTGCAATTACATAACCAAGTCTTGTATTTAGTAATGGAGCCTTAGGTGTGACACTGCCATCAGGTGCCTCCGAGCTGGATGGAAGAGCTTGAAGCTCAGGCTCAGGCGGCAGCAAGATCTGGAAAAATATGTCAGCACCTAATAGAATGTGTATGTCACTTGGCTCATTGAACCTTTTGTCAGCTAGCATAATTTTGGAAGGTAAAACTACGTTATGCAAGTAAAACTTTCTTTGTGGTAACTTTGAAGTTATTTTGTCCAATAAGTAGCATGTGACTGATATTTTAAAATTCTGAGTGAGGGAATGTATTTCCAAATAGACCTTCTCCTTTAATTTGTTTAAGGTATTGCCTATACCAATAACTGGAGTGTTGGCTGTATCAATTTGTAATTTTAATAGATTTGCAAGTTCTCTAGTCACAAAAGATGCCTGTGATCCAGTATCTAGAAGAGCCTTGACATGAACCTCTGTACCATTGCTCGCTAGTAGTTTTACCTATGCTGTAGGCAATAGTACCTGCTCGGAGGCTGCCTCAGACATCAATGTTACTGGAGACGATGCTTTATCTTCGTGGAGCAATGTATTGTGCCCTTCTTTGCAGACATTACATTTAAAGTGATATCTGCATTTTTTACTATGATTATTTAAACAAACCTCACATAGCTTGTTAGATGTGGCAAACTTGATTCGATCACTCGCAGACATAAGCAGCACCTGTGTCTGGATTCGTTTTCTTCACAGCTGCAACGTGAGCCACCTTTGAAGTTGGCTGGGAACGCTCCGGTGGCCGCTCTCCATTCTCGAGTGCAAGTGCACGCTTATCTAGAAAATTAATAAGGTGCGCAACCGTAGGATCTCGTACTCGAGCCAATTGAAATTCCCTACTGCACAATAAGTCTAACTTTCTAGTCAGAATGCAAAGTACTATTGGATCCCATTGATCAACTGAGTGACCTAGGTTTTTTAAGGCAGCTAATTGTTGCTTAACAATAGATACAAAGTTTCTTAAATTACTCGCTGTTGATTTACATATAGGTACAATATCTAACAAAATGTGTATATGTTCATTTGTAATTTTATATTTGTTGTCGTATCTATCAACTAGAATTTTCCTGGCCTCATGGTAACTCTCAGTAGACAATGTGAGATTTTTGACCAGATCGTGAGGTTCCTCTCGCAGAAAACTACGCAAATAGAAAAACTTTTGCACATCATCTAAATTTTGATTATTATGTATGAGTGAATCGAAGAGTTGTATGAATGGCTAGAACTCGGAGTACTTACCAGAGTACGTTGGTACATTTATGGTAGGTAACTTTGTATTGAAACTTTTTGTAACACACTCGTTTTTACAACCTTTTTCACAATTTATTGTTTCCAATAATTATCTGATGACGGTGAGCGTTTTGCTGTACTGCTCTTCTACATCATCGCCATCATCGAGGTCGGGATCTATGGCGCAAATCTCCAAAGTATAGTCTTCGTACTTTTTGAATGTGTCGCGAAGACGCTCTTCCTTTAGGACTAACGCTTGTTTAGAGAACTCCTTGTAATCCTCTTCGTTTTTGAACATGTTTTCAATTTTAGTTAGAGTACCTTTGATGGACGCTCGTTTCCTGACGAGCGTTCTAATTTGTTCGCCATCCATTGTTGAATACTTGTAACAATATAATTCAGTTGTAACTGAAATTGTCTGACTGCACAAGCACGAAACAACACGTTTTTTTCTGTAAAACTGAATTATGCTCGTTCGGAGGCGGCGCGCCGGTGAGGCCACGTGGTAACGCGTGCTTCTTGAACTCGATGGACTCGCCCGTCGCTGATTGGCTCTTCTGAGTGTCGTGATGTGACGCGAGCCAATCAGATGCGTCCTCCTGGCGCGGCGACGAAGCACTCTCGGCGTCACCGAAAGTTGCTTTTTTTTATGCTTGAACCAAACTTGGATTTCCAGAACACTCAAACGCAGCGCTCGAACTTTCTGGAGCGTTTTGGACTCGCCCTTGAAACTCTAAAGTGGACTTGCCCGTTTCTTTTTCGCTACGACCGGGGCGTGGCGTGGGTATCTTCTGGAAATTGTATGATCCAAAGCTTCACACGAAGTCACCGTTCTTTCGCTGGATAGACTATATTGTTATTGCTCGAAGGACCATTTGTTGGGATCTTAGTTATTTATAAATAATAAAACTGCAGATCGGGTGAAAATGCGTGTGCTCCGTGTAATAATTCTCTTGTACAGTAATGACATTAGTAACATTGACAGATAAAATTAGACAATTAATGTTTTTGGAATAGCTTCTGGGCATTTGTCCCATACAGATAAAAACTTAATGTTGTGTTGCCAACAGAATACTAGTGTCGGGGTAAAGTTTTTTTTTAAAAAACCCAGATAAATTTAAAAAAACACTTAAAATATTTTAAAACGAGCCTTTTTTTACTTATTATAAGCCAGTCCTTGGCCTCAATCCCACCTGGTGGTAAGTGGTGATGCAGCCCTAGATGGTAAATCGCACTGTCTTAGCGTAACAAAAGTCTATTCACTCTTGCCTTGAAGACGGCCAGATTGTATTCGGGCGAAAAGATAGACGTTGGTAAATTATTCCATTCCTTTGCTGTATACATTACAAAAGACGAAGAAAACCGTTTGGTTCTAATGCGGAAAATGGGTGAAGATCCGCCGACCTGGTTGTCCGATGGTGGAAAGGAGAGGGATGCATTAAAGCGTGTAACTCCTGCGCACACTCACCGAAATGTATCCTATACATTTCGGTGACTGGCTACTCTGCGCCTGTACTTGAGGCTGACAAGATTGGTTTCAACCAAATCAAGGTCACCAATTCGCCTCTTAGCACGTCTCTCCACTGAGTCCAATGCTGATATGTAGTATTTTGCAGCGCCAGCCCGTGTGTGACAATCAATACTCCATACACGACCGAACTTGCGCTTTTGAGTCTTTTTGAATCTTTCCTGTTTTAAAATTTACTCTGATAGTCATGCTTGGCACGTGGATTGAAAAAAATCTTTGAATATCCCAAAACAATTGAATGATTTGTAGCATCCAACACAGAGATAAGGGGGTTGTAAGCGCTGATTGATAATATATAATGCTGATAATAAGTGTATGATTATTAAAGATTGCAATTCAAAAATCGGATCCGGTAATCCATCGGAATTAAACGTGTATCGATCACCGGAACTGTTAAATTAACAAATGCATTTTTTTATAGGACAAGGGTGACAAACGAGCACACAGTCCACCTGATGGTAAGTGGTTGCTGTGGAACATAGACATTTACATTTATCCTCGATTACGAATCAAAATGCAGATGCGTTGTCACCCGTTAGGACTAAGATGGCATGCCTCGTTTCCAGTAAAAAGGGTCTCCGGTTCTCTACACTCAACATACGAAACACAGAGCATTAAGCTGCTATTTTACGCTGGTATTTTGTGAGAGCGTGGTCCTTCCCCGATCGAGCCGACCCATTCGTGTTACATCTATATCAGAAATATAGCTGAAGCATGGCTCTACCACGTATAAAATATACACCGGTTTCTTGGAAAGATACTCGCGTAGTTGTATTTCAGAACCAAATTAAATTTTTTGTAGTAATTTTATTCAAATTACATAATAATTTTATATAAGTATATTCAAAATAATTAGAATAGTGTGTAATTAAAGTGTCAATGATTAAAAAGATTTAAAGTTATTGTAATAATTTCAATAATAAGAATGCTGATGTGCCTAAATTACCTAATTACTGTGAGATCACAGCGTGGAAACTGGCGAATATTCTTTCTGTGAGGTCAGTTTTGGAAGAGGCCTAAGTTCAGTTGTGGACTTTGATAAGCTGTTATGAATAAATGAATGAATGCTGTTTAATTGAGATGGCAATTAGGAATAATTCCCTTAATGTAGGTGTATTTGGTTTTCGCGCAGATAATGAAGGATGAAGCCCAAGAGCAACTGCTATAAATTCGTCGCACCTAGCGTCCATTTGTCTCCGTGTTCCAAGGGGACTTCGTTGAGAAATATAAGTCATTAGTTCGTTGCCTTAGAGCCTATCACGCTTACATTTATAATTATTAAAATTATAATGGAATTGTTGAAAACAATAACCACATGACTGATTTATGTTATTGGTAAAGTGATGCATAATGCGCCATTATTGATAGTAATAATAATAAATATAACTTTATTATGCACCATATATTAGATTGTCTAGCTCTGGTGAAAATATTTATGGGAATCATACCGCAATTGATTTATGCTTTTTTTTTTAATATATCAATACTGCAATCTAAGCTGAAATATTAATAAAATAAAACAAACCTACAGTCGATACTGATACTTTAGCACTGTGACCATTACCGCTCCACCCTATAAATGTTTACTGTTGACATAGGCCGCATCCATAGATCTATTGAAAGGTTTAAAATATTTAGTGAATAAAAATTGTTAAGTAAGGTTTATTATAATAGTTAATCACGCCAGGCACTAGATATCACCTCGTGGCCGTTAATTACGTGATTGCGCGGGAGAATATATGTAGGTATGTATCTTAAATTAGAGGAATTAAATTTACTTACCGAGAAGCTCGTACTCACAATCACTAATCGGCGTTTGTTCTAAATATTGTAGTGTGTAATGTTGTATGTGTTACTGTATGTATGATAGTGTATAGCCGAAAAACACTAGAGATTATAAAATTTAAAACTAATTAAATTGATAATGCGGTAGGAGCACAACAAGGTGCAACAGCGGGCGCGGATTAGCGAAGACTATATTGAACTAATGACCCTTTTCCTTTTGAATGTGAAGTGAAGTGACAATTTTTACTCACACCACCGCCATCTATGATAAATACGAATAGATTAATTCGAGCGCATGTTCGGCGCGACTGATACTAAAGAGTCATCATCATCATCATTACAGCCCTTCACAAGTCCACTGCTGAACATAGGCCTCCCCCAAAGAATGCCACAAAGCACGGTCCTGAGCCACCAGTATCCATCGACTTCCTGCAAATCTTACCAGGTCGTCACTCCATCTAGTGGGGGGACGCCCTACACTTCGCCTGCCGGTACGAGGCTGCCACTCGAGAACCTTTCTTCCCCATCGGTTGTCGGTTCTTCGAGCTATATGGCCGGCCCATTGCCACTTCAGCTTACTAATCCGTTGGGCTATGTCGGT